CTTTAATAGTTAGAATAGGGTTTCATAGGGTTCCTTTAAAGGGTTCCTTAAAGGGGTTCTGTAAGGGCTAGCATTAGGGGTTCCATAAGGGCTACTATCGGGGTTTAGGCTGTAGGGGCCTTAATAATTAGAACAGGGTTTTGGGCTCCGGATCGTGTACTTATATTGAGGAACCCTAAGGAATAATATTGGCAAATATTTAGGCTTCTATGTTACTTTTGTTGAGGGTTCAGGGTTCAGGGTTTAGGGTGTAGGATTCTGAAGAGGATCAGCATAAAGGTCTAAGTCTTTCTAAAGCTTTAACAAGGGTTCTACTGTATTGGGTTGAAGGCTCCTTGCGTTGACTTTGCTGTTAACACGGGTTGTGGTTTAGTGGGGTTTCAGGTTGTATGGTTTGGAGCTTAGGGTTTAGAGGTTTAATTGCGGAGGTGCAGGAGTTTCATGTTCAGGGAAATTGCTCTACTCGTGAGAGAATATGCCCCGAACTTCTCCTAAACCCTAAACCCTAAACCCAATGCCCCTGACTTCCAAGAAAGGGAGATACCTGCACTAATCGGTTCAGCCAAGCCTGTTGCCCCCCCCGAACCGAAGACTGAGAACCGATGCCCCTAAATTCAATCCATCTGAATCCCCAGACTCCATTTAGGTTCGGGTTTAGGGTTTATAGGGCCTCTAGGACCTCTCCCCGCAACAAAGGGTCCAGCAAGTTGTCTGGCAATCTCCGCATCGACAGCACCAACCCAATCCCTCGGGACACTCTTTGCAGGTTGACGCTTAATGTGGGGGCCTAAATTCTTAGCATAGGGTTTTGGGGTATGTTATACTATACTGATAAGAAGGAACCCCCTCCCCCCCAAAAAAATGGTATAGGAAAAAAATGGTATAGGCAAATATTTAGGCCCCTATGGTAAGTGGGCTCCTGGCAAGATCACCGCTTCAGCGTTCCAGGGTTCTGGCTGGACTAGAATTACCCCCTAACCCTAAACCCTAAACCATAAACCCAAGTAGGGCTTCAGAATTTATAGTTCGAAGGATCTTCCAGGATGTGGGGGTCCCTTTTAGGGCTCCTTACAAGGATCTATAAGGGTTTAGGGCTTAGAGTTTAGGGTTTAGGGTTTCTATAAGGTCCCTATAAGGGTACCATGGGGGTCTAATGTGGGTAGCTGTAAATTAGTGTCCCCTTCAGCGTCCTTCTTATAAGGGTGCCGTACTGTATTGGAGACCGAAAAAGGGACCTTAGTTTAGAGAACTGCCCATATGAAGCCATCGAACCGTGAAACAGCATCTGATAAGCATAGACCCGACACCCTCAACCCTAAACCTTCAACCCTACAATCTCAACCCTCAAGTAAGGCGAGGTGACGCCTCCAGACCTTACAAATCCCAAAGCCTAAACCCCGCAACCCGGGGTCTTCAACTCACCACGCCTTCTTTCACAAGGGCTCATGTTTTTTTGTCAGGGTTAAGGCTTTAGGGTTGAGGGGTTTAGGGGTCTGGAGTTCAGGCGTTTAGGGCTTATAGGGTTGAGGCTTTTGGGGTTCAGGGGTTTAGAGGTCTAGAGTTTAGGAGTTTAGGATATATACGGGTTTAGTGGGTATTAGCGTTATAGTTTAGCACCCTCCATGCGCCCAGGGCGCAGCAGTGACCAGGTCCAGGCATCGACGCGACCAGCACAATCTCCTGGTCTTCCCGAGATCTTGGGACTGGGTTTAGGGTTAGGGGTTTAGGGTTCAGGGTTTAGGGGTCAGGGGTTTGGGGTTTAGGGTTTAGGGGTTTAGGGGTTTAGAGGTTTAGGGGTTTAGGGTTCAGGGTCTAGGGTCAGGGTTAACTTGGAACTAGGATGGGTCATAACACCACCTCGGCTTGGGGTAGGATCCTGATCATAATATAGGTCAACTTACGTCAACCCGCAACAAGGAACTAACGTATACTATAGGGGCCTGAAAAATTAGAATAGGACTTTGGGGCCCACTACACTATAATCATAATAAGGACCCCAGAGAAAAAAAAACATAGTATATGTAATTATTCAGGCCCCTAGATTACAGTTAAGAGTCTCGGTATCTACATATAGAGCCATCTTTCCCCCCAAAACACCGATAGCCCGAACCGTACCAAAGCTACACAGCAAAGCCCATACTCTGAACCCTGATATGGGAAGCTCTCTTTGCAGCCTGAAGGTGCTGCAAAGAAATAGTTGTGAGTCGGATTGAACCATGCCGTGAGACTCTCAAGGAGATCTGAAGGAAGCCTAAATCGAAGCCCTAGGCCCCTAAACCCTGAGCCCAAACCCTAAAACCCTAAACCCTAAACCCTAAACCCCTAAAACCCTAAACCCTAAACCCTAAACCCCGAAACCCTGAGCGCCTAAACCCTAGCATGTGAGCCCTTTTGCAGACCGGACGGGCCTAGCTTCTTGGCAACGAAAGCAGCTGCCGGCCTCGAGAGCTCTAAACTTATGGGATCCTTACTTATGGGATCCTTAAGGGAGGGTTTAGGGTTTAGGGTTTAGGGTTGAGGGTTGAGGGTTTAGGGTGTAGGGTTTAGGGTTGGGGGGTTAGGGTTTAGGGTTGAAGATTTAGGGTTGAGGGTTGATGGTTTACGGTTTAGGGGGTTCTAAGAGGGGTATATAACCCAATAATCCCCAATTCTCCCTAGGGCTCCCTTAGGTTCCTTAAAGCTCCCTAAGGATCCCTAGGATTGAACCACCCTGCCTTAGGGATCCGATAAGAAACCCTAAAACCGAAGCATCCAAAAGCCCCACGGTGGGTGATTAGGGGTTTGGGTTTATAAGGTTTAGGGTTTGACACTTGGTCTGCAAAGAAGTCCGATCTATGCGTATCCTTTGCCTCTTTGGCAAATAAGGGAGGGAACTGATTAATCCAGTTGAGTCCCGTGCGGGCTCCAGGGCCCAAAAGCGCAAACTGGCTGTCTTCCGTCGCCGGATAGGTGGAGAAGCGGAGACGCCACAGTTGTAGGCTGATGCCAGAAAGGGGGCAAAGCCCGGGAAAGTAAGAATCTGTTTCATGATGTCCCGCTTGGTGCACCACTGGCGGTTAAATTTCATGGCTGGCCGGCTCAGCTTCACCGGCAAAGCGGCGAAAAAGGGCGCCCTTGGCTTGGGCGGGCCCAAAAGTGGCCAGGGTTTAGGGTTTTGGGGTTTAGGATTTATGGTTTAGGGTTTAGGGTTTTGGGGTTTAGGATTCAGGGTTTATGGTTTAGGCTAGGGGGTCCCTACACCCTAGGCTTCCCCGAACCCCTAAACCCTGAGGTAGTTGTGGCAAGTAGTGCGGCGCTCCCCAACCTTAAGCTCAAAACTCTGCGCTCTGACTGAGCGAATTTGGCTACTGTAGGGGCCTTAATAAGTAGAATAAGGGTTTGGGCCCTGTATAGTATGTCTATCATAAGGAGTCCTAACAGTAATATTGGTAATTAATTAGGCTTCTATATTAAAAATACTATTCCGAAGGGTTGTTCATTGTAGTTCTACCCGAATAACCCCAAACCCTATTCTGACTACTGAGGCCCCGTTGCTGTATTTCTACTATAACACTATAATCTACCGCAAAAAAAACGCATAAAGGGGCCTTGATATTTAGAATAGGGTTAAGGGTCCGTGTACCCCAATACTAGATACTTAGACCTTAAATTAGTGCAGTCCCTGTTTAAGTACTTTATAGGGTCAAAGTGTACTCATACGGAGCTAAACCCTAAACCCTAAAACCCTAAAACCCTAAACCCTACAACCCCAAGCCCCTAAACCCTAAAACCCTAAACCCTAAACCCTTAGGGTTAGACCATCTTGACTCGAGGGAAGACCCTGGAGGATTCAGCGTTGACGGCGGATTTCAGCCGGGGTGTCGACGTGTGTTACGATTTCGTAGCTACCCCCAACTAACCTACCTATTGTCGGGCTCCTTATTATCATTTCTTTATATAAGTCCTTGAAGAGGACCCCGGAAGTATGTAGAATAATAGCATTTTAAAATTATGGGCAACTGCTTTATCTACTTTGGGGGGGGGGGGGTTAAGTAGGTTCTAGGGCCTAGGGCCTAGGGTTTGAGAGTTTAGGGTTTGAGTTTGGGGTCACGGGTTTAGAGTTTAAGATTTGGGCTTTAGGGTCCAGGCCCAGGCACAGTTTACCTAGAGTCTCAATTGTACTTCCTTGGTTTTGTTCATCGAACTTACAATTGTGGGATCCTAACGTGTCCTAAACCCTAAACCCTAAACCAAAGGAGCCGCAATGGAGACTACAAGCAGCACAATGGAGACTACAAGCAGGCTTGGGGTATAGTGTAGGAACCTGATTAAGAAACCCTGGCCCAATAAGCCCAACATATTAAGGTTCATATTAAGAACCCCAATAAAGGCCCAGGGGTTCCTAGTTCCTACATTAGTCATTAGGGTTTAGGGTTTAGGGGCTTAGGGGTTTAGGGTTTAGGGGTTTAGGGGTTGGGGGGTTTGGGGGCTTCGGGGTTTAGGGGTTTAGGGGTTAGGGTTTAGGGGTTTAGGGTTTAGGGTTTAG